CCCAAAGAGTATTTGTTCAAAATTTCTCATAAAACTCACTGTACAGAGATTTAGTTCTCATTAATATTGCACATGGGACATTCCGAGTGGATACATTGTATCCAACATAGATCATAAATTAGATATTGTAGAATCTTTGTATGATTTATGACTTTCGTTGTCGAAATTCATGTTGTACGTACACAAGAAAAAAAATGACATCTTTATTCAAATTACGGGGAAATAAAATCGTCACTTGATTAGTTTTTACGCTTTGTATATGTGTACAAAAATACTGTCTTTTGTTTATTGAAATAACAAAATCACGAAGTCCGAAAGTAGACACTTTCGACCCCGCTTAAATGTTTTCGAGTAACTTCATGTTGAGGTAAAGAGATTTCTTTATTTGTGATGCTCGATATATGTATTAAATGTAGAGTTATCCGAGTCAAAACATGTGTAGCTGTACAACTAGCTGGTCATATAGCTATGTTTTACCGATGGTCGGACATCGTGATGGGTATGTGTCACATGTATTCAGTGGTCGGCAGTTTTTTTATATTATTTTATCAAAGTGAGCAAATAGATAGAATCCAACTTGGGGATGTATCTATATTAGTGTAACTGGTGATGCGACAATGCAATAATTAGGTCATAAGGGATTCTCGGTGTTCTTTGCGCGAAACGATAAAAAGATTTTCGTCTCGCGTAATGGACGCCGGGGATGATGCGCGAAAAGTATGGGCATCGTCATTCTACGAGCCTCGACTGATTATTGTCGTTGGTGGCGTGGTTGAAGGTCCAGAATGACTTGTCAGCCTTTTCCGTCGATGCTTGGAGAATGGTGCATTGTGCGGAACATAACCAGAATGGACGTCACAAATCGCACTCTCGAATTTACAAACTATCAATGTTTTTCACACGCGTTGTTTACGTCGATAGGACCCGTATCCAACACAACGCGGAGCAATGTCAACCGTTTAAAAGATTCTAGCCAATGAGAATTGAGAGTATCATCTAACAGGTATCTGCTTGTATCTAGCCAATGGGAACTAAGACTACTGTCTAACTGGTGGTTATTTGTATCTAGCCAATGAAAACTAAGACTACCGTCTGACAGGTGTCTGCTTGTATCTAGCCAATGAGAACTGAGACTACCGTCTAACAGGTATCTTCTTGTACCTAGCCAATGAGAACTAAGACTACCGTTTAACAGGTGGCTATTTGTATCTAGCCAATGAGAACTAAGACTACCGTTTAACAGGTGGCTATTTGTATCTAGCCAATGAGAACTAAGACTACCGTCTAACTGGTGGTTATTTGTATCTAGCCAATGAGAACTAAGACTACCGTCTAACAGGTGGCTACTTATATCTAGCCAATGAGAACTGAGAATCCCGTCCAGCAGGCTTTTGCTTGTTTTCATATAATTATGTTTTCCTGACTAAATAGAAAATAAATAGGAAATTAATTTGACAGGTTGAAATTGTTTTTTTTAATGGTCACTGTTCATTACTAAGTTAATTTTCCCCTTCGCCAGCAGATTGAATTGACACAACTGTAAAATTTAAACCAACATTGTAAAAACAAAGGTTTATTGCTTTTGCCCGTTTCAATTGCCAGTTTGTGAGCTGGGACTCCAAATCTTAATAGTGCAATTCAATCTTGGTTAAATAAATACAGTATTATACACAGCGAAGACTTGGACAGCTTTTAGCGTTTAGTTTGGGTTTCCCATTCTCACTTCATATTTACACATAATAAAAATGTTTTTATTGCCGTACTCTGATTTGGATTATGTGAACCCACCTATATCGTAAACTGATCAGTCCAAAACGCACACGTGGAGTACATGCTACCGTGATTGGCAAATCATTGGCGTCACGTGGACTGCCATTATGCCAAGAATCAATTATGCTTATTTCTAATTCATGAACTGTTTCGGGGGTTAAAAAGGTCAAGACTAAGTCATTAGTACAATATTTTACGATACAATCCATTATCAACTACGGGCAATTGAATACTGACTGGGAATACGGAATTGTATGTAAATTTCGTTGTTCCTTTCCGCAAAGTCCATATTAAAATTAACATATAAAATTGTATATACTCTTTTATATTGTAATGTTTTTTTTTCATTCGACTGAATTTGATTCAGTTTGCGTTTCACGATGTACATCGAAGCAACGTGAAGAATACCACGTGTGAAATGAAATACCGATAAACCAAAGTATTGATGGGAATAGAATAGAATGATATCTCCGGATTATTGTGACGCATCATCAATCATGCTGTGATTTCCAAGATTAATAACTTAATCCTTTATCGTTCTTATGTTATTTAATATGTCTGGTTCGGTGTCACGGCGTAATGGAAATGAATGCACACTGCAGCGACACTGGGGCCCATCACATCGACTAAAAACAGAAATTACTAAAGTGACTAAACATCTGACATTATCTTATCGCGACAAACTACTAATTTATAAACAGTAACACCGATCGTTGAAAGGACTCCCAGCTAGAATTTAAGTTTTTTGTACAACGTTTGATCATGTAATTGAAAAACGCAGTAACTAATAAAAAATAATGCGTAAGTATAGCTCCATATCTCGTTTATTTTGTTATTTATTTCCCATATTTTTTTTTTAATTTAAATTAATTTTAAAAAGTGTTCTGTGCAATTATTGAACAACCCAACCCCTCTTTTCATGTTGTTAAATATTCATCTTTTATCCGTCGAAACAGGTAAAAACAGAAATGTAATCACATGCCCCTGTTTACGTACACGACTTCTGGGTTGTAGTTTAATACGATAAGATGAAAGGCTGACTTCTCTGGTTCAATAAATGCATCATAATCTAAAGGGCG